CTCAATTCTTCCCACTCGTCCTCCTCCAGGAGCAAGGGCTTGACCCCCAAGCTGGGGACGCTCGTGTGTTCCCAGTCCGCCAGTGCCAGCTCTCTGTCGCTGTCATCTTCCCATCGGGAGAGCCAGGAGGGTGTGTAGTCTTCCCAGTCGGAAAAGTCCTGGCCCAAGGAGTCTTCAGCATGGCCCAGCTCTTGGGCAATGGAGTCCTCCCAGTCGGACAGGAGTTCTTGGTAGTTACTGAATTTTCTTTGGGGCTGCCCTTTCATGCTGCATTCTTCCAAGTCGGTCACTTCTGAGGAGCTACTGCCTTTTCCGTGGCATTGCTCTTCCTCGCTGGAGTCCTCCCAGTTGGACAGTTCTTTGTGCCTCTTGACTTCTTGGGACTGCTCTTCCTCACTGTAGTCCTCCCAGTCGGACACTTCTTGGTAGCTCTTCACTCCTCCATGGGACAACTCTTCCTCGCTGTATTCTTCCCAGTCAGACACTTCTTGGCCTCTGCTCTCTTCTCCTTGGGACTGCTCCTGCTCAATGTTTTCTTCCCAGTCAGACACTTCTTGGTAGCTCTTCACTTCTCCTTGGGGCTCCTCTTCCTCGCTGTATTCTTCCCAGTCGGACACTTCTTGGCCACTACTCTCTTCTCCTTGGGACTGCTCCTGCTCGATGTTTTCTTCCCAGTCAGAGAATTCCTGGTAGCTCTTGACTTCTCCAGGGGACAGCTCCTGCTCAATGCAGTCTTCCCACTGGGACACTTCTTGGTATGTGTTGACGTCTTCTTGGGACAACTCTTGGTCTCCCTCATCTTCCCACTGGGAAATGTCTTGGTCAACGTAGTATTTCCAGCCTATGCCCTCCCCAGGGAAGGGCCCCTCGTCAGTGTCTTGCACTGCCAGGGCTGAGTCCCCTCCTGCTCCCTCCTGCTGCTCGCTGAGGGCCTGGGCTTTCACCTGGGAAGGTGAGGGGCTGCTGGGGGAGCAGGGGCTCTGCGGGGCAGGGACTGGGCTCTCTTCCCTTTCTGCTGGAACTGCTGTTACCGTGTCCATGGTTTGTTCCAGGTGTCTCTCTTCCTCTGGCTCCTGGTCAGATCCCTGGATCTCAGCCTCAGGCTCACTCAGGATCTCATGGGTGATGGACTGGTCTGTGTCCAGCAGGGCCTTGCTGCCCTCTGAGGGGCTGTGTGGGGCAGGGGCCGGGTTCTCTGTCCTTTCTGCTGTAATTGCTGTTTTCATTTCTGTAGCCGTGCTTTGTTCTGGGACCCTCTGATCCTCTGGCCAGCAGCTGAGCACGCGCTCAGCCTTCCTCATGATCTCCCTGAAGAGCCAAAAGGCCATGTCCAGCAGATCCTGGGTGTTGTCTGGAGGGCTCTGCGGGGCAGGGACTGGACTCTCTGTCCTTTCTGCTGGAACTAATGGTACCATTTCTGTAGCTGTAGTTTGTTCCAGCTCTCTCTGTTCCTCCAGCTCCTGGCTGGATCCCTCGATCACAAGCTCAGCCTTCTTCACGATCCCACATGTGATGTATTGCTTTGTGTCCAGCAGGGCCTCACTGCCCTCGGAGGGGATGTATGAGGCAGACACGGGGCTCTCTGACCCAGGTGCTCTTACAGTTTCTTGCATGTCTGCATTCCTGGTTTGTTCCAGCTCTCTCTGTTCCTCCGGTTCCTGGCTGGATCCCTGGATCACAAGCTCAGCCTTCTTCACGATCCCACATGTGATGTACTGTTTTGTGTCCAGCAGGGCCTCACTGCCCTCTGAGGGGCTGTGTGGGGCAGGGACTGGGCTCTGTGTCCCTGCCCATGGCACCTGCTCTCCAAAGGCTGGAGAACCTTCTGCCTCTTCCTCAACAGGAGCCAGAGGCCCCTGGGGCTCCTCCTCCTCAGCAGCTCCGGCCGGGGCAGCAGCTGCCGGCTTGGTGTCTGTGGCACTCGCCAGGGCAGGAGCTGGACTGGGCAGGTCACGGGCTGCCTCTGCTGCCACCTCTGTGCCCACGCTGCTGGCAGAGCTGGGCCCCTCCTGGGGAACAGTCTGGGGGTCCCCAGCGTTCACTGGGCGCCAGGGTTTGTCCCAGGTGCTGTAACCGACATCCTCTCCCCACTGGGACAGCTTTTGCTCACTCCTGTCTTCCCTTTGGGGCAGCTCTTGGGCACTGTAGTCTTCTTCCTGACATTGCTCCTTGTCTGTCTTGTCTCCCACTTGGGAGAGCTCTGGGTCTCTCTTGTCTTTCCATTGGTACAGTCCATGCCCTTGCACATCTTCTTCCCACTGAGGCAGGTCATGGTATCTCTCACCTTCCCACTGGGACAGCTCTGGGACTGCCACATCTCCCCATTGGGAAAGTTCTTGGCCTCTCAAATCTCCCCATTGGGACAGCTCTTGATATGTCTCTTCTTCTTCCCTTTGGGACACTTCTTGCACTGTCACATGTTCTTCCCATCGGGTCAGCTCCTGGTATCTCACACCATCTTCTTCCCATTCGTACAGCTCCTGGCATCTCACAGTTTCTTCCCGTTGGTACAGCTCTGGGTGTCTCCCATCCCCCCATTGGGAAAGTTCTCGGACTCTCACATCTTCTTCAAATTTGTAGAGCTCTCGGTGTCTTCTGGCTCCCCGTTGGGAATGTTGTTGGACTCTCACTTCTTCCCATCGGTAGAGCTCTTGGAGTGTCACATCATCTTCCCATGCGGTAACATCTGCGCATTGGGAAAGGTCTGGATGGGTGTCGTATTTCCAGTCATCCTCCACGTGGACAAAGGCCCCCTCCTCAGTCTCTGACAGTGGCAGCTCTGAGCCGCCCACTGCCCCCAGCCACTGCCCACTGAGTGCCTGGTCTTGTAGCCAGCTGGGCAAGGGGCTGGGGGGCTGGGAGTTGGGGGTGCCCTTGTCCTTATCCATCTCTGTCGTCCTCTGCTCGAGAGGGATGCAGGGAGCTGCTTCCTCCTAAGAGCACAGCTCTCCTGGCAGTGGGCACCACAGGGCTCTGTGCCCCTTAGATACCCTTGGGGCAGAGCGGGGCTCTGTGACCTCACAAGGCTCTGTGGGCACCACCTTCTCTGGCATCACAAAGGGCCCTGAAAGGCCCCTGCATCACAAAGGGCCACACCCAGCACCCCATGGCCAGTGGAGAGGACTGGAACTGACTCTGAGCACCCCTGGCATTTGTGGACTTGTAGCCCCTGCTCTGCCCAGAGCCCTGGCTGCAGGGGGGAAAGTCCTTCCAGCATAAAGTGCTGGAGAAAGCACAGGGAAAAATCTCCCCTCCCTCTAGGTACTCCTTTTTATCAAAGTGTTCTACAAAAATAAAGTGGTCGCTTAACAGGTTTGAGTGCAGGCACTGCCCTGAGCTAGCGCTGCCAGCTGAGCCCCCCATCCCTGCAGGGTTGTGTGCGGGTGCCAGGGGAAGCAGGGTGCTGTGCCAGCAGGATGTGTGTGCAGGGTCCAGGCTGAGGGTGATGCTCGGGAGCAGGTGCCATGAGGGCACTGCCGTGCTGGCGATGCTGGTGGGAACAGGAGGCCTGTGCAGGGTCCTGCTGGGAGCCTGTGGCACCTGCAAATGGGCCCTGGTGTGCAGGGCACAGGGGCAAGCGCAGCACTCAGGTGAGGGGATGTGTGGGGGGGGCACCCAGGGGACCTGTGTGCTCCTGCAAGCAGGGGCGTGCGTGGCACTGTCACCAACAGCCCTGTGCTGGACACAGGTTTGCTGAGCATAAGTGTGCTGGGTACAGGTGTGCTGGTTACAGGTGTGCTGGACACAGGTATGCTGAGTGCAGGTGTGCTGAGTGCAGGTGTGCTGGGTGCAGGTGTGCTGGTTACAGATGTGCTGGGTGCAGGTGTGCTGTGTGCAGGTGTGCTGGTTACAGATGTGCTGGTTACAGGTGTGCTGGGTGCAGGTGTACTGATTACAGGTGTGCTGGTTACAGGTGTGCTGGTTACAGATGTGCTGGTTACAGGTGTGCTGGGTGCAGGTGTGCTGGGTGCAGGTGTGCTGGTTACAGGTGTGCTGGGTGCAGGTGTGAGCCTGTGAGCAGGCCGTGTGTGTGGAGCGGGGCTGTGAGCTCGGGCACGCTGTGCCAGCCGGGCACCGCGGGCAGGCTGTGACCGTGCCAGGCTGTGGGGGGTGTGCACAGCACCGCTCAGAGCACCAGTGCCCTGGGAGTGTGAAGGGCAGCGTCGGGGGCGCCTGGCAGAGTGCTGCCCTCTGGGAGCATGCAGGGCAGCCTGCAAGGGCACTGCACACAACGCACTGCTGCTCCTTGGCTTCCCTCCCTCACCAGTGTTAGCATTCTCACTGTGCAGCCCTATTTACTTCTTCCCAGTTCAAGGAGTGCTGGGGCAGCACCCTCAGGCACATGGTGGGATTGTTGGGGTGTCCCATGCAGGGAAGGGAGTTAGACTCAATGATCCTTGTGGCTCCCTTCCAGCTCAGGGCAGTCTGTGATTCTATGAGTTCATAAATCTTTTTTTAAACTGTATTTTAACCCTTGGAAAGGGAAAGGTTTGATAACTCTGGGCACAAACAAGATCCTGAGATGAACCTGGGGAACAGCAGTAGCAGCTTCCCTCCTTCAGCACTCTTCCTGCTCCTCAGAAGGGCTGGCCTGAGTTATGAACACTTTAACTCCCCATCTGCTGAGCCACTGACCTCCCTGCAGAGACAATTAACAGCAGAGCCAATCAGTGCTAATTGTGGTGCATCTTCATCAAAAAAAAAAAAACATTTCCATAGCAGGAAAGACAACTGGTCTTGGAAACAAAGGTCTCTTGTTGGCATCAGATCTTTGTTGGATTTTTAATTCCTTTTAGTTCTTAGTTGTCATTTTGGTTGATCAGGGAAACAGCAAGGGTCAGATAAGATGTTCTTTCTTTGGGAATGCTCATCAAGACTAAAGCTCACCATGTCTCTCTCTTTTTTCTTAAGAGATCCAAGCCAGCCTCTGTGCCTGACCTTGGAGAAAGGTGTTTGGGTCTGGGGGAGTTGGAGTTCATTTCCCCACAGCAGCCCTCCCAGGGCTGAGCTTTGCATTGGCAGCTGGAGGGGTGTTGATCACACACCGGTGTTTTGGCCACTGCTGAGGACAGCACCAACACTGGAACATTCCTTCCTCAGTTGAGGGCAAGATCCTGGGAGGGGACCCAAGTAGGCCAGCTGACCCAAACTGACCAAAGGCACATTCCAGACCACATGAAATCAGCTCAGGTAGAAAAGCTGAGGCAAGGAGCAGGAAGGGGGGTGTGGGAACCTGCTTAAATAAGCACACCCACAAGTGCTTGGCTGGAATTGGTAAGGCAGCTTTATTGGAGGGTGAGCAGTCAAAAGCGTACAACTGAACAGACCACGGGCAGACAAGGAAAAGGCTCCAACACAAACTGGCTCTCGCCTTGTATAATGTGGGGTAGGAAGGTGCCAGAACAAAAGGTGGAGTTAAGGCGGAGCATGCAAATTATAACCATAGAAGGGAAATAGGGGTTGGACATAACCATATATGGAGAGCTGGTGCAATGCCCCAAATAATAACCAAGAGAAAAGCAGGGTTTACATATATGAGAAATAATACATAATACTTCCAGACATGAATAACACATAGAATTTACAACTTCCCAACCAATCACAAATTACAGGCCACAACAGGGGGGCATTCATTGCCTCCAATGGCTGCCTGCTGAGGAAAATTCACGTGTACCCAAGCCCTGCTTCTCAGCAGTGGCCGACCACGGCTGCTCACGGGAAGCAGAGAATAAACCCTGCTGGCTTTCGCTTCTGCACACGCAAGCCTCGCTTTCCTTTTTTGCTTTAAATAAACTGCTTTATCCCAACCCACAAGTTGTTTGTTTTCTTACACCTCACTCTCTCCCCTGTCCTGCTGGGAAGGGGAGTGAGAGAGCGGCTGGGTGGGCACCTGGTGTCCAGCCAAGCTCAACCCACCCCAGACCTTTCTGGGGCCCAAGCTGGGGCAAGATAAAGGCAGTTATATATAAATATTGCATACTCTAGTAATAGTAGCTATGGAATAGTAAACTCCGGTGTGGGACACGCAGTTTGCTGGTTGCACTGCTTCTCACTATATTTTGCTCAGCTTTGGGAACACACTAATCTAAACAAGGGCTCTGTGCTTTGCTTTTACACCAATGGCCTTGTTATGCTGGGGGAGTTATCTTTTGGGGGGCTTTCTGGAATGAAGGAGAAATACACCCTTCCCCCCCTCCCTGGCATTGCTACCAATGGCTTTATAATGATGTCTCCTGCACTCCTTGCTAACCCTTATGTGAGCTGGTTGGTAATATTACTGTTACTAACCAATACTGTCAGCACAATGCAGAGTTCTTGGAACCTGGTGTTATCCTGGTGGAGGAGAAAACAAACTTGAGGTGATGATATATTGGGATGCACCCTGAGGTGCCCAGTTCCTGGGTGCCAGGGTGTGTGGAAGGATCTGGGCAGGTTTCTAGCGCTTTTGACCCCTCCCATGACCTGGGACTTCACACCTGAACAGGTACTGGACCCTGGCAAACTGACACGTCACCTGATGGAAGGGGGCCTTGCCTACCCCAGTCAAAACCAGCAGCTTCTTGCCCTGTCCTGGGGCCTGGCC